ATATGTTATTGAAATTGATATCATTATTGTTTTCTTCATAATTTTGTTCATTATTACTTATATTGTAATTTATTGTTAATCTTAAATGTCTACAAGAAAATATGGATTTAGAAAAATAATAATAAGAAGAAGAAGAAGACATACTCAATTTAAAATTCTCGCCTTAGACTTTGATAAACAGAAATAATTTGCACTCTTGAAGTCATAAAGGGAAAAGCTGCGGCGAAGGTGATTAATGATCGCGGTGCTGGTTGATCTCCGCAAAGGCGCAAACTCCTCAGCCACCACCCCCACCTCCGCAACCACCACCTCCACAGCCACCTCCGCCACCAGCAGCACCACCACTGTTAGGGCCAAAAAGCGTCATCAGCCCAAAGAGGAAAGCCGGACCATTTGTGAAGAGAAGACCAGGCATAAATCCCAAAGAGGCCTAAGCCAGATTAGTCTCATTTGATACGAGATACGGCCTGCCCAAACCATCTGGGCGCGGGCCTCCCAAGTCCAGTTCACTTCCTGGGCCCATAGGCGAGTTCCAAGCCTACGGCCCACTGATCATATTCCTGTTCCTGATCAATCTCCTACTCGAAGTCATTTTCCTGTTCAGAACACTTTCCTGCTCGAAGTTACTTTCCCGATCAGGATCACTTTCCTATCCGGACACTGGTAAGACAGCTTACCACGGCCTTAATTCTTCTAGGGTTTGCATCAGAGTCACATTAGGACTCCTACTCCCAGGATTGGGAGGCCAGACAGTCACTATATAAACAGAGGTCAGCTCTCTCACAGAGGACACACTACATTACACCTTCACATCCGAAGCTCCTACTTGAGAGTTTTACATCACTGCCGTAGTCACAATCTCCGACTAGACTTCCGGTAACCTCTTTACTCCCTAACCCTCACTATACTAGCCTTTTTCAGCCTTGCTGGCTTGAGCGTCGGAGTGCCTACGGCAAACACCACCCCAGTGTTTCCCGTTTGCTTCATGCGTTTGTTTCTCTACGTGTGCAGGTACAGCAGATCGCTAGTGGCCTCAACCTCATGGGATCAAACCCCCCTTCCGTACAGATAGATTTTTACGTCTACAACCACCACCACGTCCAAAACAACAACCCACCTGAACAGCCTTGTCCATGTCAACCTCTTCTCGGCGTACTTTTTCTTTGTCGTCATTATCATCATCATCTTCTTCTTCTCCTCAAGAATCTTCTTTCCCTTCAGTACAATCCGCACAAGCAAAAACTATCATTGATACGATTGAACATGCCATCAGAATTTGGAAAAGTAACAAAGTGACCCCAAATAAGCTGCTAACACCAACAGTCTCATCCTCTGGAGCTATCAAGTTTCGTGCCATGGTTGTAAATATGTTAAATTAGAAGAGGCATAGAAACAACTTCTATTTATAATTTTATATATAGTCACCAAGAAGTAAACTTCCTAGTATCTTCATCCTGTCCTAGAAATTGACCGTATAAATTTCTTGTACGTATCTTCGCCTCCTTAAATTAAACGGAAAAAATTGTTACCTGAGGAGTACGTAGCACTATTAAAGTCAAAAGTTTATTGTACGTTTTATGGAATTTTATACGATGAATCCAAGGCATGATAAAGACATTAAGTTTGTTTAATTTAGTTATTGATTAACAAAACATCGTAGAGTCAGAAGTCCTGATCGGGTTCAAGTAAATAAGGCATCGAGTAAGCATTTAAAGCGCTTAGTTAATTACTAAAATTTTGGACAATCCGAAATCTGGATAAGATCAACTATATGTTCGATCTGATTATTAAATATTAATTTATGGCATTCATGTTTTCGTTTATCATATATTTGATTGTATATTAATTTTAATCTTATACTTTTCTTGTTCATTTTGATAGAATTAATTTATATAATAACTACACTGATTTAAGAGGTTTACATATATACTGATCAAAATGCTCAACGAAGTACAAGCTTATTGAGCATGCAGTATAATCTAAGGAAACACACAATGATGCTGACGAACAGTGAAGGACCTGGAGCTGATGGCCCTCTCTTAACCTCCACACCCACCACCCCCACAACCGCCAAAACTGCCACCGCCCTCACCACCACCGCGGAGGGTAAAGCAACCGACCTAAATCTCTCCACGTTTTTCTTCCTCCTTTTTGTCTTCTTCTTTCTTCTCTTCTTGTACGTGTACCATCAACACAAGCAAGAATTATCATTGATATGATTGAAACTGCATGCCATCAAAATTCCGAAAAATAAAAGAGTCCCACCAAAGAAACTATTGACACTCTCATCCCCAGCCACTGGAGCAACCGAGTTTTGTGCCATATTGTTAATACAATATAAGTACGCGGGGAGGCATAAGAACGACTTCGTATTTGTAGGTTCCTATAATAAGAAGTGTACTTCCATAGTACCGTCATGCAGTTCTATTAATTAATTAATGGAAACTTCATTAATAATTAACCTGGTAGCGTCCTTGTATCTTCGCATTTGTAAAAGAAAATTAAAAATTTCCTGATAGCAGGAGCATCAAGTCAAAGTTTCTTATATATAAAATATAATACAATATATTGATATCACAGCTGTGCAAGACTATACTTGATATTCCAAGAGATCTAATAATGGAATTTTCGTTGATTCCAGGGCATGAAAAAGACCTCCATTGTAAGTTAGTGAATAGCATGACCATCAAGTAAAGCTGAAGCAGTCCTGCGTTCAAGTTAGTAAAGCCATAGTATTTGTGCTAGCTTGCTGATCCTGATTACGTATATGATCATTATGAGAATATAGTAGAAAAGGATATGGGAAATTCATTTGAAGTTGCCGGCTGGTCTAGACCTGCAAAAAAAACAAGCTTTCCTGAGCAACACTTTTCTACATTGCCATATATATGCTATGTCAAAAACAATTCCAGGAAAAACAAAGTGGAAAATGAAGTATTTGCCAGTTTAACTGGTCCCATCGGATGCCGGCCAGTTCAGTATTTACAGTTTCATGCCTTTAAATTAAAGTCTTTGTTATCCAAGTAGATCGATGCTTCTAATTGTAGTTGCAAGGGAATCTTATAAGGTCCTCAAATTAAATATCAAAAGAAAATGGGAGTAAGTCTTAATAACTGCAGCTATATTTACCAGTGGCTTGATGGGGCTGTACGTAGTCATTGTTTCTCTGTCGTACGTACAGGGTGAGGACAAATAAGGGTCAAACTAAGTTTTAGACACCAACATATTGACTCAAAACTAAGTTATGGTATCACACACACACAAGACTTTTCATTCCTTTACAGACACTCAAAATGGGATATGTAAACAAATCTAGAAATATTTGGCTAATAATGCAGAATTTGGGTGGTTGACAAGGTAAGAAAACCAATCCTCGTACCGTTCACAGGTGTTCCCTGATGCAGCCCGCAGGACAGCAAAATATTAAGGTCAAAGTTTCATATTATGGTTCACAATTTCATTATTCACAACTCTACAATTTCAATATTTCCTAAAATGATGAGATCGATGGCCTAAAATTTCATGGGTTAGTCCTGTCCGTATTAGTAACTTCACCAACTGTTAAGTGAAGAAAAGGTTGCGGAAATTTATTGCTGTGAGCTGAGAGACAGCCCACCTAGAATGCTAATAATTTTGTACATAAACAATGAACTGTCAGTATTTAGTATATATAGATGCCAGATGTATTTTTTTAATAAATGATCAAATAATTTGAGTTCTGCAAAAGAAATATATATATATCAAGAATTCCTACTCTATACATTTCGTATAAAAGCTAGAGCCTATCCCTAGCCATCCTCTTTATACCGAAGCCACTACTACTAGGCACAAGAAAGTAAGAAATGGTTGTGTCATTAGGAAAGTTGCAGTGAAAACAAGATCCGGGAAGTTGTAACTGATACAATGGATATTTACGCAGAAAACTTCAGCAGCAGCAACAATTAAACCCGAAGCTTCAGAAGGTCAACCTCATGGTCACGAAAGCTTGAATCCAGGTAGAATGATTAGAAACAAGAGCTCTCTGCAAAAACCATTTTCCAGTGTACAAATTGACCTTGAGCTTGAGCCAATCTACCGCATGAATCCAGTGTATTCAGCCATGTTTGTGGTGTTTATCCTCTACAAAACCATGAGTTATAAAATAAGCAACAGTAGTAAAAGATTATGAACGCAACTAGAAGTCATATAATATTGACAAGAGAAAACAATAGTGAGAAAATTTTTGGAGAAAGAAAGGGGGAAATTAGAAAAAGAATTCATTTTGTTGCCAATGGCATCAAAATACACCATTTGATCTTCTGCAAAGTAGCTGTTTCAATAAAACACAGCAAGAAAAGCAGCAGTTATAAGGCCTATCTAGCTCAGTCGGGAGAGCGCAAGGCTCTGGATTCGAGCCCCACGGTGGGCGTAGTAAAAATCTTGCTGTTATTGTTTTTATTTATTTGCCACATTAAGCAAAGAGGAGCAATAACTTACGCAATGAAGCAGGATCAACATGTACAAAGAAACTTGCAGCAACTATCACGTAGCAAAGCATTAGCATTAGTCCTTTAAAGTAGTTAGAAGTTCCTTCCTGCAACCCCAACATAAAATAATATGTGAACAACAAATTATAAAATGAACATAATATTTTACAGACAACAAATTTTTTTTCTAAGTTGGATTTGTTGAAAAAGTTAAAGAGATGCTTCTCAAGAATAAAATATATATTCAAGCATAGTTTTGTCCATATATTGGCAGGTATGGAAGCAAGAACATAATTTTCAGAAATGGCAAACCTGCAGCATGAAGGCTACCACTAGAACAGTAATTATAAGTGTGGCTGTCTCAAAAAGTTGAAAATTCAAATCCATAGGCTGTCCCATGATCCACCCAACAACTACACAAAAGGGAACCTGCACTCATAACAACAATAATATTAGGCTCAGGGGATTGATAATTCAAAGAGGGGAATTAAAACAAACAATTTGAATTGTCCTCAAATCTGAAAGTCCTCTAGAATACATGTTTGGCTTGCTACCTACCCCAAACATAGCTATCTGTGTTGACGAACCAATTGCCACTCCCAAAGATATGTCCTACAGAAGAGATTTAAGTTTTAAGAATAATTAATTGTGTTCAGTTGCAATATGAAATCAACAGAATAGGCACTTACAAGCTTATCTCTCATTGCAAACATAATAGCACCCGCATGCTCTGCCGCATTCCCAACTATTGGGAGTAGTATAACACTAATAAATGACATTGGCATTTTCATCTCAATAGATGCTCCCTGAAAACTCAACCATATATGCTCTAAGCACAAATATTCAATAAGAGTGCAGAAAGACAATTTTTTCCATTGTTCAGCTAAATAAAAGAGGCTGCATGCAATGGATGAGAAGAAATGCAACAAATAAAATGTAAATAAGCAAGTTGGAGAGATTTATTGCAGGTACCTTGGTCATCATCTCATTATAATATGCATAGAATGTATTCACAGTAATTTGTTACACAAAAGACGTTGAGATATATTAACAAAGAAAATATTACCTCAATGGCATCAACCAAGTATTCTGAGAGGATTGAAATCCATGCTGTTAAAATAGACAGCCATATTATTGATTCCCATTTTGTTATCTCAGGAGCTTCTTCATCGTCTGAATCCACCCGTTCACTCAGACACTCTCCCTGAGTAATGCCAGTTATTATAGAAACCATAAATAACGCTTGGGAAATGAAGTGAAACTACAAGTAATTTTCAAAAGTATATGAAGAAAGTATCCTCTGTGGATGTAGACAATATGAAGTAAATTCTTCTGTCCTCTGTTCTTTTCTCTTGCTATTTTCACTACTCATTTAATATTTTCCACTGCACAACACTAGCTTTCTAATTATATCACTGCTCCCAAATTATATAACAATAGTTTTCTCCAGAGTGATGATACTAACCTGATCAAGTGGATCATATAGATTCCGCTGGCTCCTCAGCTGAAAATATAGATAGGCAGCATAAGCTACAAGCATGACACAGCTACTAAATCTTGACAAAGCCAATTCAGACTTCCCAAAATGCAACTCAGTGTGTGTAGCATGAAGTACAGCAGGGAATAGTAGGCCCATGACTGCCATCAGTAGCAATCCAGAGTTCACTGAAGCAACTGCCTATCAATAAACAATTTAGGCATCTTTGTCAAACAAGTAGTTAAGGATATCAAAGAAAGAACAACTTAACCATTTTCACCTTGGTTTAATACATCAAATTTGATCAAAGTGTTGACATACCTTGCTAAAGACTTGTTCCCTCTTAGTAACCACAAGTCCCCCACAGAAAAACGCACAACCAAGCACCAGTAACATATTTGACAGAATTGAACCTAGTAATGACTGTTGAACAACACGAATCATGCCATTTCTTAATGCATAAATTGATATTATCAATTCTGTTGCATTTCCAAATGTAGCGTTTAGAAGTCCTCCAACTGCAAAGCACATCTCAGGGCATTCAGAGAAAATAATATGAAGAATATGTTTACTTCAACTGAGAAAACTCCATTAACAAATTAACTGCTGTTACTATTTCTAATGCTTTTGATTTTTTTTTTCTTTTCTGAGTCTTTGGACATATTCTATATTTGTAAATGGTGAATTCATAAAGCTTAAAAAAGTAGAGAATTCTGGGCGGGGGGTGAATAAAAAAGTTCAAAAAAATACGAACTTTAAGAAAAACTTCAACAATCAACATCTGGCAAAATTTAAATTTTTGAATGTAAAGAATGAAAAGAACATTACTTGTGGGTCCAGTATAGAAAGCCAGCTGCCTGCATAAAGAGTAAGCTTAAGCTGCATTAGGAACTCATCAAATCATGTAATTAATCACTAAACACAATGAGTTTTCAAGTCTAGTACATGTCCAGATTTCAAATTTATCTAATTTTGATAGTCTAAGACATTGAAACACATCTAAACTATAAGAAATTCTCCAATTTGGTTACCTGTTCAAAAGGGTTAACAGGATATGTAAATTCAAATAATTGGATGATTCCACATGACACATGTATTCTCCGGAAAAGCACTTAAATAAACAAAGAATCAGATTATATATAGAAACTCACTCTGTAGCAAAGCCGAGACGCTCAGCCAATGGTATGATCCCCAACAAGTTCAAAAGAAAAACCCAACTCTGTAATGCCCTCAAAAGTTTAATTTAAATAAGCAAAGCATATAATTTGTTTATATATATATATATATATATATATGATTGTATAACAGAACAGCGCAAAACAAACACAAAACACTCACATGATTTCCAGAAGTTTTATCTACAACAATCGCAATGGGGCCAAAAATCATGAGTATATTAAGTTTTGTAGAGAATATAACGACCTTGATGCTCTCAACAAAACCACCCATATTGTTGCCCTTTAGATATAAAGATTCATTGATATCATCTAAACCACCTTGAGATAATGATCTGTTTTTAAATGGATGTTTCTTTCTTGCAGGACTCTCCATGGCCTCATCTTCAACCTCAAGCACTGCTCTTTCTTGCATAAGTGACCCCATCTACACAAACAATCAACATCCTTTTATCAAAAAACAATATTTACATAACATAAATAAAATAAAATAAAAAACAAAAAACAATTCAATACCCTTTTTTTTAATCAAAAATCAATAATTACATAACATTGAATACGAATGCTAGAAAAAAAGGATATATAATATTCAAGACGGGATGAAAAGAAGATTAAAAAGAAACAAACCTCAACATGGGAATGACTATGAGTTAGTTCTGTATTATTGCTTGTGGTATCCATGTTGTTGTTGCAGACTGATTAGACCAAAACAGAAGCAAAAATTCCATGTCCAAGCACGAGCATTACTGCTCAGTCATGTTCTCCACAATGAAAGATTGATAAATTATTCACACAATCATCCAAGAATCGTGGAATATAATATATTCTTTGAAGGAAGTTTCAAGGAAAGTATGTTAGAGAAATAAGAGCGGGATGCAAAGAAAGTGTGCGCGTAATTGGAAGTCAAATGGTGGGTGGTTCTGGCATTGAATAAGTAAAGTCTAAACAAAGAAAAGAAAGATTAGAGACAGAACGCGGGTATTGGTTAAAAATGTTTTGTTAATGGGCAAGCATTAACTGTAAAGGGCTGATATGGAGGGGCTTAAAAACGAGAAAAGTAAGTAATGGAAATTCAACAATAGCCACTCGCATGCGCTGTTATCGCCTTCAGTTCTCTTCTTTCTTTCTATTTTCAGACTGAAAACGTGTTGCTGGCCATGACTTTGTGTCTCTGTAATTTCTTTTCTATTTCTACCGGAGAAATAGATGAGAGAAAAATAAAATGGTCTCCATTAAGTCTTGAACCTTACATTTAGGATTGTACTTTTAATGAAACATCCAATTCTAACCCAACATCTCTCCTTTCTCTCAACTACCAACTGTTATTTAAAAGATAAAATATTATTATATTCATGGATTATATATCACGCAGCTCAAACATTCTCTCCTTCTTCGTTGAAGAGGAAACTATGCGTCGTTAGATAAAATCGCAATGTAAATATAAAACAAAACTTTAAAGTAAAATCACAACTAAAGTTTATATTTTAAAAATTATCAAATCAATTAGACATAGAATAATGCTCTATCTTCATTTAATACTTTGAGTAAATGACTTTTTTCCACCCAAATAATGGTTTCATGACATTTTTTTATCTATAGATTTTTAAAATACCATTTTATTATTTAAATTTATATTCTTTTTACGATTCCAACATAGTTGCAATCTCATATTATCACTGTTCTTTTTTTCCATCATCACTTACCAAAACCCCTCAAATCCTACTCCCGTAGATCATTTCAATCATCAATAATCAAGCGATTAAGGCTTACACAACCGTCTCTCCTAAGTTAAATTCCGATCAATCACAACCATCAAAATCTAATATTCCACTATCAAAAGATTCGTTAATCTCCTCTCTTCAAAAGCCCTAACAACTTGAATCGAGTTTATTCTTTGTTTATCATTGTAATATAAATTTAGATAATAAATTAATATTTTAAAAATATATAGGTGAAAAAATGTCATAAAACCATTATTTGGGTGGGAAAAAGTCATTAACCCTTTAATACTCAATAAACTATGATTGAATCAATGTTGTGCTTCAGACAAACAACCGGCTAATTCAAATTTGGAAAACCCATATTAATGGGAGATAAGCTCATGGGCCATGGCCCAAGAAACATATCTTTTACCCAAATATCAACCCAGGCGCGCGCGCGCACACACACACACACACACACACGGATCACAGAATCGTGTCTAAGAGAAGAAATGAGAACCAAAACGCGAGGTGGCAGAGCTCGTCTCTCTAAATTGTCTTCACCAACTCTAACTCCAACCGCCAACACCTGCTCACTTGTTTTTCCCACTCTCAAACTGGTACTCTCTCTCTTTCTAACTATTCTTTTTTTTTTTTTTTTGGGTTACGTTTGTGTCTCTGTAAGCATTCCGGTAATAGTCGCGAAACGACGTCGTTTCATCTCCCAATAAAACGAGTGGGAGAGAAAACTGTACTTGTGGATTTGTAATGCTTGGTTTTTTATAATTATTTTTCAATTATTGGTGATAGAAATGAAATTCTTTTGATTTTTTTACATTAGGAACTTCAAATCGTGACGTGTTGTGTACGTTGTGGTAAAGTTACCGAGATTTTTATTCTCTGTTGATAGGTCTTTAGTTTATCAGTTTTGTTAATTAAATGACTAGCTTTTTGAATTATTTGGATATTTAAACAGGATGAAGCAAATGGAAACAATGATGATATTAATACGGCTTCAGCTTTTAGTGATATTGGGACTGATAATCTAGTAGGAATGCCTGGTGGTCTAGGTTTCAGTGGAGAGTTTATGGAAATGGATTGGTCAGATGGAGAGAGTTGTATTATATGTGATAAAAGTGGCAGGAATTTGTTGGTTTGTAGTGAAATTGGCTGCGCACTTGCCCTTCATGAGAACTGCATGGAATCTGGACCTAAATTTGATGATGTAGGGAACTTTTACTGCCCTTATTGTTGGTATAAGCGTGAAATGGTGAGGACTCAAGAGTTGAGGAAGAAAGCTATGGAAGCAAAGAGAGCGTTGCTGCATTTTATTGATTCGAAAATGGATGGTGATGATAAAGGGAAGAAGAATGGTGGAAGAGATAAAGAGGAGGAGCTGAATGTTTCTCCTCCTGTTGGAGAGAAAAACTTTGGTGATTGTGAGGATAGGAAGGATGATAATCAACTTGAGAGTCAATTTGTGGAAGTCGAGGATGATCAAGAAAATAATGAGGACACTGCAAAATTAGTTGACTCCTGTGATCAATGTAAGACAGCTGTTGAACACCAAGGTGAACCTCTTTCAGATGATCAAAGTATGAAGAAATCACCGGGGGTCAAGTCACCTGTGAATATCACAAATAAAGAAGGATCCAGTAAGGAAAATTTATCTGAAAGTCATGAGTTTGAAGTTTTAGAAGATGAAGAAGAAATACGAGTGGAGGATTCAGGACAAGTTGATGATAGTGGAAACGAAAGGACTGTTGAAGATCCACCACAAACAGAGCCCTGTATTGCTTCCAGAGTACAAGAAAATGCTGCGGATGGTCCACATCAGGAAGAAGGAAGAGAAATACGTGTATCTTGTTCTGTAAAGCTAAAGCGAGGAAGAATGGAGGATGAAGAGAAAATTCTCCCGGAAACATCAGGAGCTGAAATGTCTGATTCTGATGCACAGACACTCTTAATGCGTCAGAGGCGTGTTGGACAAAAAAGTAAGAAGAAAGCGCATCAGAATGTTGATGCACCAAAGAAACGATCCTCCCGACTAAATGCCACTCCAAAGAAAATTGCTAGGACTCACAATGAGAAAGTAACTGCCTCAAAAGAGCCTAGTCTACAAAAAGCAGCCGCTAAGAAATTGTGAGTCTTCATGTACATATGGCTAATTTATTCTCTGATAAAGTTTCATGTTGGAAATGTCATAGTTTTGTTATAATAGGCATTAGTTGAGTGGTTGAATTGTTTTTGTTACATAATTCGAAATTAATTTTCCTTTTATGTTGCAGCACAAGCCAGATGTTTTGTAATGAGAAGCGTAAGAGACTACACTGGACGACTGAAGAAGAAGAAATGCTCAAGGTATGGACTTATTGACATAGCCTTCCTCCCTTTTCTAAACTTCTTGCTATTAGATTTTACCTTCTTAGGTAAAATATTGTGTATGGGAAATTTTCGTTTGCTGAACTATTTCCGAAACACAGATATGCTGGTTGTGATAGGTTTTATTTCAGCAACTACATGAGGATATAAATTTATACAACACGGGTCTCTTAGTGGATAAGTACCTGTGTGTGCACCCCATCGGCTTTCAGATAAATCAGTATTTTTTTTATTTTCTAAAATGTTCTTTACATCCATTCGATTGCTTTGGTTAGTTCTAAACTTTATAAATTACAGGTTCACAATTAACAGCTTCTGTTTAATGAATTACTTACAGGAACATAATTTGGCATATATTTTATGTGTTTTCATGTTTTTAAATGTGAAGTACAGGGTCAAATTCCAAAAAGTTAAATTGTTGTTTTAATGGGGTGTTTAATACTTAGGATTGAGTCAGAAGATGAAATTTCCATTATCTGATTTGCCGAGTTGTTGCCATCTATTCTTGTACTGCAGGAAGGAGTGCAGAAATTTTCAACTAAAGTGAACAAAAATCTACCTTGGAGAAAAATTTTGGAATTCGGTCGCCATGTTTTTGATCCAACTCGTAATCCAGCTGATCTCAAGGATAAATGGAGGAACATCATGGCCAAAGAGTCCTCAACTGTCAACAGGAGCTAATGTTGATTACATTGGTGATTGGACTCAACAGGAAGAAGGTTTATCAAATATAGCTGCGAATTGCATTTTGGCCCCAAAAGAATGTGGTAAGCGGAGTTAGAAATACCATCATCGATGTAGTCTTAAGAGGCTATTTGAGGACCCTGACTGAACAATTCAAGGCTGTTTTACCCTCGAACATAATCAAGATCTAAAATGTACAACGCAATGAAGAAAGAAAGCAATAGAATATCAGCTCTTTGCTAACCAGTTCATTACCTGAAGTAAATCCAAATGTCCGCTAGTACTGCCTTTCTGAGGCAGGTATACCCAGTAAAATTCGAAAGTATATTATATTATGTTGCAATTAAAACTCTGTATCAGGCTTCTTAGACATACTTAAAGAAACAAAATTTTGAAATGGAAATAAACCACTAAGAAATTGTCTTGAAAGCAGCCTGTTTTAGTAAATGTGTTTTGTGTTGTCTTTCTCTCTGCTGACGGGAACTCTAGTCAGCCGGAGCCTGAGGATTGTTCGTATAATTATCAATACTCCAAACCCGAGGAATCGCATGGACACGGCCCAAATAGTTGAGGCGAAGTGCAAGAATCAGTATATGCTAAATCTGTGTGGATAAATTTTCAATCCTGGAGCATTTCCTATCTGTAATTCACAGCTTTATCAATAAAGTTTATTATAAAATATGAACATTTATAAAATAAATGTTTTGTTTGTAAATTACAATTATTCGTTTCTTAAAAGATAACATCCAATCAAGTATGTGTTGTAGCTTATTTCTTTTGTCGGTGTACTACCAATGAAAATTGAAAAGTTGTGAATTTTTGTTTTGTCAAACTTATTATTTTAACCTTTGTGCTTTGCTTGCAGTTGCAGTTGCAGCCTACATCTTATTAACAATGAGTTCATGGCCTCTACTAACTTGTTTAAGGTAAGCTCTTTGGAATGTCTTTTCAATGGTTGACTCACCGAGTCTTCAAACCACAATCCCACCCTGTCCCCGCCCAAATCAAGCCTATCTTTTAAATTTTCAATCCAATGCCGTGTTTTAAGTGTTGTGATATACAGCAAACCAAACACGTCATTGTTGGCTTCTTTTTGACATTTTGTAACGGCGATATGATTACAAGAGGTTTATATTTTTGACTATTTATTGTTTCAAAATGAATGGTGCAAAGAATTAAAGAATTGTCAAATAAATATCTCAATCGAAGTGGTTCTCTTTTTCCAATTGAGACTTGTTGAATGGTAGATGCGGTCAAATAAATACAGCACAAGAAGCATTAAATTCAACTGGGTGGGGATTGGTTACGTCTTTATATATGTATGTCATTGAGTCATGCATTTGATAAGATATTGAACCAACTTAGCAATGAAAGTGTTCTCTAAGAGTGTTCCTGTTTGCGTTTTGCTTGTAGCCTACATCGTATTAACAATGACTTCATGGCCTCTACAAACAGAAGCAAAAATTCCAGAATTCGCAGCTATCCAAGGTACAAATAGCTTCATTTTTTCTGATTTACATGATGGGATATAGCTTTTAACTCACATAATGTTGCAGTTAAAACTCTGTATCAGGTTTTCTTTGACATACTTGAAGAAACCATATTTTGAAAAGGAACAGAACCTGTCTGTTTCAGTAAATGTATGTGTTTTGTGTTCCAGTTGTTAACTTTTCACTCTGTTCTCGTGTTTGTCTCTGCTGACAGGAAGTCTAATCCGCCGGAGTCTGAGGCCAGTTCCTGTAACTCTTAGTAGTCCTAGTAAGAATGGACTGCGTCAACAGTTTGCTCCGTCGTCACCTGGTTTAAAATAATTGGGACCCAGTACAAGACTCAGTATATGCCGCATCTGTCTTGGATAAATTTGCATCCTGGAGCATTGTCTATCTATAATTCATGTATTTATCAATAAAATTCGTCCAACGTTTGATATTAATTAATAAAATACATATGGTTGTTGCAATTCCTTCTCTTACAAGTTATCGTCATATAAATATGTTTCTCTTATTAGTTATCATCAAATTAGGTTGGCAAGAAACTTGTTTACACATCCTAATCAATTGACAGTTCGTTTTAGGAAAAACAGTTAACCCGCTGGATTGAATTCGTGGATGATGACTGATGCAAAGAATTTATGTAGAACCTGACGGAAATGAATTTAGCAGTACAATTAAGGGCACCATGATAATGGGAGTAGCTGAACTCATAAACCAAAGGAAACTGCTGGATTGTTCAAAGTTCAGAAAAACTAAAAAACTTTTTCTGGCATGTTCAAAGTTTTGAAAATAGAAATACAGTTGTTCTTAATAGTAACTACAATAGCTATCATGCCGCCAAGGAAATTATCGACTTAGAGAACTCGAAGCGTAAAATTTGACTTTCTTCCTTCTGAGTTCACAATGTTGTTTACTTTTCAAGTTTGAGGCATTCCCATGGTGGATAATCAAATATAATTTAATACTTCTCATTCGTTTTTTTTGGCATAGAAAATGCCAGGTTGCCGAATTTTTCCGGTATCCAAGGTTCAAATCTTGACAAAAACTTGGGGTGATGCATTTATTGTAGCATATTTAGAATTTGAAATTATTCTGCAAATTCAAATTAAATGGAACAGAAAAGAATTACCAAAGGACTCACCTTTGTTTATTTATTTTTTGCTCCTAAATTTCTCTTAATTAACCATGCCTTTGCCCTTGACACTCAAGAGGCAGAAAGTTTACTCCATCAAAGTATGATAGATGGTCCAATACGTCGGAGCCTATAAGTATATGATTCCTGAAAGCGACGGAAGTCCGAGCCATGGACAAATTAAGGGATACACCCATCGGAAAAAAAGGGTTAAATACTAATTACTAATTAGCAATAACAAACAAAGTTGAGGGTATTACATGCCTTAAAAATCTGCTCTTTTAGAACATTGTCTTCTGCATTACTAATAAAATGACACAAATATAACTATACAGCACGCAAACAACTAAATTTCAAGTCAAATCTTTTTGGAATATTTTAAATAGTTAACTGACCAAGTCTTCAAATTCAATCAACTATCACTTCACATGCGCACAAATGAAGTGGGATCCATTTAGTGGCTTCTATTTGACTTTGTACAATGCTGAAAGGATTACAAGAGGCTAAATTTTGCATTTTTTTCAACAAGAACATTTGACTATTTATTGTTGTGATTTGAGCTCTCATGAATTTTTAAAAACTTTATAATACAGCTCTTGACATTGTGGTTAAGATGTGCTTCCATTTTTCTACAGTCACCTAACTTAGCATTAATATTTCAACTACCATTGAGTGGTTTAATAGTTAATGAGTAAAAAGGTTTAATATGGTTCTTAAATTTGAGTTCTCTCAGACACTAATAGGGGTGGTTATTGAGGAAATTTACCCGGTTGTGCGTAAGCTAGTCCAGACATTCTCGATGACAAAAAAAATAAAAAAAATTCTCCATACTGGAACCGTGTTGGTGTTGTGGGGCCTGTTGTTTGATGCGGCAAACACTGTTTGTAAATATTGCACAATCACTTTTCTGCCATTCTTTGCGCATTTATGTGAAATAAAACCAATTATTACAAGCCCAACCAAGCTCGATACAACGGCTACAGTTAATGTTTATCATTTCAAGTAATGAGAATTTAAACAGAGCTACTATTAATATCATGAATAATATATTGCACAACATAATAAATCGAAAAAAATACCTACAGATGATTGTATAAATGTTGAAGCTTTCCTAAAATCCATTATCATATGGGGATTCTATTGAAGATATATTCTGTATAATAACTAAACTAGTAGTTTCCCAAAATGACAGAGTTGATCTTATTATTGAAAAGCTTTTGTTTTACATCCCTATTATCTTGTAATATAACAAGGGTTTATTCTCAAAATTAGAATAGAAATTATAAGATCTGTGTTTTAATAAGATAAACCAATGAAAAACCAATTTACCTTGGTTTCTATGTGCTCTGGACTGAGACGTGGTTCTTGTTGGCCGTAGTGCAATCGTTATTTAATTTTTATGCAGTAATCTTTCAATAAAATTGAACAATTATTTCGCATGATAAGTTCAGTTCATAAGCTGAAAAATTGTTGATTCTAAAGAAAAAAAATAAAATAAAATAATTCCACGAAAGCTAAGTAATTTGGTATTTGTTTGTTGTTTTTGTATCACCATATGATCCTTGCGCGTGTGCCTACAATTGATGCTCACCTTCTTTGAAGCTCCTTTTTGGATCTTGAATGTTTATATTTGTCTTCCGATTTGATTTTATGGATTTTTGGTATGACCAATACATGAGCGCACTTGCGGAAGATTATCTGGAAAATGGATCCCTGGAGCAGTACTTGTAGCGAGAAAAAAGAAATCGAATGGGAGAAAGTTACGTGAAATCACGATTGGGACAACTAGAGGTGTTGCGTACTTGCATGAACAAAGCCAAAATTGAATAGTTCTTCATCACAGATCAAACAAAATACTTGAAATATATGGCCATGGAGCATCTTTAGTTAATGAATTTTGTCTTCTGGCTTCGACTTTTCTTTATAATTAGCATGTTTGGACCAACGAATGTCATTCTCAGTGAAGGTTCTTGGTTCTCTCTATTTTCCGAAACGTCGTCCTCTATTCCTCTTTATATTAAGGAGTTTCTATTTAAAATATAGAAACTAAAAAAGATATCAGAGATTCAAAGACTTTTGCGTCTTTTTGTTTAGAAGCAAAAGCAAAAAGTTTCTGCAGATAGATTTAAAGTATGGTCATCGACTCATTGCGGTATTTGTTTTATTATAATATTAGATACTTAACTATGCCTTATGTTTTACATTATTTTTAATTATCATTAATTTCCGTTATGGTAATTAATATTGCACATGACATAAGAAAGTTCTATCCATTTTTGGCCTTCAAACAAAGTGCGATGTTTTTTTCATTCTGTGTTATGTTTTTTCTGATCTTGAACGTTTACAATTGTTAACAGATTTTAACTACTAAT